ATATATATATACATACATACATATATAACAATTGCAGATGGTATAATGGTATTATATATGATGATAAGTAAATGGTAAATGGACTGTACTTATATAGCGCCTTTCTATCTTATTTCAAGATACTCAAAGTGCTTTACACTACAATCTGTGTCCTCATTTACCCAGTCATACAGCACTCTACTAGATCTCTACAAAGCTAATGGAACAAATCATTCTAATGAGACTAATCAGTGCTTTAGATCACATTCAGACACTGATGGGACGCACATCAAAGGCTATGAGGGGTTCAGTGTCTTGCCCAGAGACACTTCAGCATGTGACTGCTGGTGGATTTGAACCCCCTACTCTCACATTGGAGGACGACTGCTCTAACCACTCAGCCTCAGCCACAGCCGCCCTGTGTATTAATTATATTTTTGACCATGTCTGTGTCAGAGAGAAGAATAAATCAGAAGGACGAGCTGCAATCATTGAATTAGTTTTAATGGTCAGTTTGGGTCTAAATGTCAAAGTCCAGACTCATGGTTTCATCTGAAACTGCTGAGACACAAAGAGGCGTTGGTGCCACCAAACCCAAAGGAGTTAGTGAGGGCGACCCGTGGGCCCTGAGGCTGCCAGGACTGGGCCGTGCAGGGAACATAGTTCAGGTTGAACTCCGGTTCTGTGCGGTCTAGGTTGAGTGTTGGGGGTAGTACTCCATGGTAGCAGGCGAGAGCGGTGAAGGCCATCTCCAGAGCGCCGGCAGCCCCGAGCAGGTGCCCCGTGGCTCCTTTGGTGGAGGAAACGGCCAGGCTGTCGGCGCTGGACTGGAAGAGCCTCTTGATGGCTGCGTTTTCTGCTGCGTCTCCTAAAGGCGTGGATGTGGCGTGAGCATTGACATACGTCACGTCTGCAGGTGAGACACCTGCGTCCCTCAGAGCTGCAGACATGCACCTATAGGACAGGTGGACCAGTAAAAACAGAAAACACATATTAAGCTTCTTGCTGCACTGAATGTGTTTGATTTACATAAAACACAAGATGTAAAAACTGGTTCTGTGTAGTTCTTTAGGTCTGCTTTATTATGAGTGCTGATTCAGCATTCACGCTGTAGCAATCCTGTTCCACTTTATTCTTTATCTTTGCTTCAAAACCCACTTTTAGTTAGTGTTTGTTAGCATTAGCTTTTACCTAGCATTTTACTACTTTTAGTTAGTTTTACTAGCATTTAGCAATTTTTAGCTAGCATTTTGCTACTTTAAGATTTTGGCTAGGGATTTGCTTGTTTTACCTTGTGTAGTGCTTGGTTTTTTGCTTTTGTTCTGTTTGTTTTGGTTTTGTTTGGATTGTTTTAGCTTCTGTTTTGTTCTTTTTAGCCTTTGTTCTGACTCATTTTAGCTTCTGCTTTTTGTAGCTTTTTTAATACTACTGTATTTTCACTACTTTTCTGCTTGCTTTAGCTTCCATCCTGCTCCTTTTATCATGTTTTAGCCTCTGCTCTGCTTGTTTTAGCTTCTTTATTAGCTTGTTTTAGCCTCTGACTTTGTTTTAGTTTTACCACCTCAGCTTCTTCAGCACATTTCAGCAGTCATTCAGCACCTTCTAACAAAGTAACAAACAACTTAAAGTGTGTAAGTGGCAGCCATGCCACAGTTGAAGAAACAAGTTTCTGATAGAGGACATTTGCAAACTGAGGTGTACCACAAACCCACCCACACAGACCAGTATTTGCAGTTTGACTCCCATGACCCTTTGAAGCACAAGTTAGGACTCATCAGGACTCTGTACCACAGAGCAGACAGCATTTTCACTAACTCAAGAGCCAGGCAGAAGGAGAAATCCCACACAAGACAGGCTCTAGAGCAATGTGGATATCCTAACTGGGCCTTCCTGAAAGCAGAGAAGAAACCCAAACAGGACTCCAGTCAGCCAACAGGTGAAAAGGAGGAACCCAGACCCAGACCAGTGGTCATTCCATATGTTGAGGGAGTATCAGAGAAACTGAGACGTTTATTTTCTAAACACAACGTCCCAGTGGCTTTTAAACCCCAAAATACATTACGACAAAGACTGGTTCATCCCAAAGATCCAGTCCCCCGGCACAAACAGAGTAATGTTGTGTATGCTGTTCAGTGTCAGGAGGGCTGTGATCAGTCTTACACCGGGGAAACTAAACAGCCACTGGCCAAAAGGATGGCCCAGCACAGAAGAGCAGCACCGTCAGGCCAGGACTCTGCGGTCTACACTCATCTCCAGGCCAGCGGTCACTCTTTCAGGGATGAAGATGTTCACATCCTGGACAGAGAGGAACGATGGTTTGAGAGAGGAGTAAAGGAGGCCATCTTTGTGAAAAGAAATCGTCCATCATTAAACAGGGGTGGAGGCCTCCGGGTTCAACTGTCCCCCTCTTACAATGCTGTTATTGCTAGTATCACTCAGCCCCCTGTGAATAGTAAACAGCCATCAGTGTGCTAATGATCCATTGTTAGGCTGATGGTCCTTCTTGACCATGTGAGCAGCTGGTTTTGGTTGTCAGCAGCAAACTGGTCGATCCACTCTGAGAAGGTGCTATTTATAAGACTGAGCTGAATACAGCACCTCAGCCTGAAGAAGTCTTTCGGATGAAAGACGAAACATTTTTACATTTTTTTGTTTGTTTTGTTTTTTGAATGTCCAGAGGACCAGACTTCACTTTTTTAGAAGTTTTAAAGTGTTTTTCTCTGCTTTAGGAGAAACACTGCTTTGTTCACAGAGGGACGAAAGACGATTTAAAAACGGTTTCCAGTTTCAGGAGAACGTTCAGCTGACTTCATGCTAATAAAAAGGAGAGTGAGCAGCACAGATTTGACATATTTAAAGTCATCGAAAATAATTACACCGAGTCACAAAGAAACTACTGTGATGTTTCCAACTTGACACTTATGTGTTTTCTGTGCCCACGTGTGCCACTGCAGTGCTGTCCTACTCCATTCTGAACTGAATAAAGCACTGACACTAAAATAAACAGTTCATCAGTACTCGTGTTTCTGGAAGGTGCTGTATGCATTTACTTTAGTATAACAATGGTGTTTAATTTATCACTTTAGTAGTGAAATAATTTGATTTATAAGTATTTACTGTTAGCATACAGACACACAAAAGATCAGACCTGAAAACCTGATACGTCATGTTTTCAACTCTTTAATATACTAACAGACAAGTACTGGTAATAGTCATACTGATGGTCTGCTGCCTGTCTGGCAGAAGCTCAATGCCCGCATTGCTACAAAGCTCTTATCAACATGGCACAAATTCTCGTCTTGCTAGCACAGATTGTGCAGGAGCTGACCACTAGTGTTTCTGTAGGTCTTCTGATGATGCCATACTGAATACGCCCTCTTGGTGTTACTGTAATCTGTGATATGTTTTTTTGTGTTGTTGGGTTTTTTTTAGTTATCAGATGACTCCTGTCAGCTCAGGCCTCGTGCAGAACCCAGTAAACAGTGGAAGTCATGCCGAGGTCAGTGAATTAATGACAGATGGGAAATAAATAAGTTGAAGCTGTTTTAGTTAAATTTGGAAATAAACATTTTGATCATTGTTGTGATATCACCTCACATTCAGAACATGTTTTATTTTCAAGGTTTGACTCAACCTGTTGCATCATCATCATTTCTCCTCATAAGATGACTTTTCAAGCCAGCCTGAGAGGCAGCATGCATTCCTTCAATGAGTGCCAGGCCTGTCATTATTTTATGTTTTTTATAGTGAAGCATTTTGTCGTTTTTAATCTGAAAGTCGTGTTATATGAATAAAAATCTGTGTGTGACCTGAATGGTCCGTCTCCATCTGCAGTGGGTGCGGTGATGTGGCTAGCGTCCCCTGAGAGCCCGTAGCCCAGGACCTCGGCGTAGATCTTGGCTCCTCGCCTCAGTGCATGCTCCAGCTCCTCCAGCAAAAGTACAGCCGCCCCCTCCCCCATCACAAAGCCCTCTCTCTCTGGGTGGAAGGGTCTGGACGCAAGTGTAGGCATGTCGTTCCATTTGGTGGCGAGCGCACGTGCCCTGGCGAAGCCGGCTATTGAAAGGGGCCCCACACAGGATTCAGTTCCCCCTGTAACCATAGCAACTGCATCCCCATGAGCAATAAACCTGGCAGCATCACCTACAGCATGAGCGCCTGTGGTGCATGCTGTAGACACAGCATGATTGGGGCCTTTGAGTTTGTGTTTGATGCTGATGTGCCCGGCAGCCATGTTGACCAAGATGCGGGGGACAAAGAAGGGACTGACTTTGTTGTAGCCCTCGTCTCGGAAGGCAGCAGAGGTGCGAGCAATCTCTTCTAAGGACACCATGCCCATGCCTACAGCCACCCCGGTGTTCAGCTGATCCTCTGGGCTTTGAGGGTACCACCCCGAGTCATCCAGGGCCAACTGAGCAGCTCCGAGGGCCATGACAGTGGCTGGTGACATGGTGTTGATTTCCCCACGAGTGGCAAACCTTTCCCCCCAAAACTGACCCTCGTTAGTTCCTTTCGACACCAGAGCCGCCACCTTACAGGGAACACCCCTGTACTCTTCAGAGTCCAGAGCCACAATTCCACTCTGGCCTTGGATCAGGCAGTCCCATGGCAGAGCGGTGCCGGTGCCAAGTGGGCTCACTAACCCGATGCCTGTGATAACAACCCTCCTCCGAGGCTGCCTTCCACTCAGCTGCTGCCTGGGATGGTGGCTGGGACAGAACAATACTTTCCGAAGCAAAGCCCCTGAGCTCTGTGGTCTGAGCTGGAGGTTCGTCCAACCGGACAGAAAGACCGAAGACATTCTGCTAATTTAATTTGCCGTTAGCTTAGTGAAAGACTCGTTACTAATACAGCAAAGTTTGTAAAACAAAGTGACATTTTCACAAACTTCATAACCTCAACGTGGCATCGTACTTAGTAAAACGTAAAATGACATGAGCTACACTTGAAAAGTAACATTTGTCCACTATGTCCCTGCATTTGTTTTTAGCTGATTTTAGGTACTGTCAGTGAACGCCACTACTACTGCGGTACTGCAGGACTGTCACCAAACAGCAAGCAAAAAACATCTATCTGTGCCTAAATAAACTGTAAAAATTCCGACCACAACTATACAGATAGAACATATATTAATATGTCTATATAAACTATAATACGCGTATTTTTTTAAACTTCTGGCATTTATTCAGGCGGTACTAGGACACATTCTTGAAGGACCTCGAGTATGCTGCTTTCACGTTACCTCGGAACTCAATCAAAACCCGACCAACTTTTCCAACTATAAGGACAATTCACGCGCAAGTCGAACATTTTAGATTTAGAAGATTGCCACAAATCTCTGATTTTATTAGTCAGATTCCTGGAGAAGGGATCGTTCCAGTTGATTTTTCCAACTTGGAACCAAACATAATTTAGAAAGCAAAAATCCGTCTTCCGAAAAAAAATTTGAATGCAACATTTTTGCACAGTAGACGCGGTTCTGTTAGCATTAGCTATCTTTCGGAAGTGGTTGTGAGTGTTTAGTTTTTCCACCGAAAAATGTCTGTGTCACCAGCAATCACGTCTTTGTGTGAGAATCCAAATGAAGTCTTCCTGGATGTCGCAAAGTTGTTACTGACATACGCGGACAATATTCTTAGGTAACGTTGTAAACCAAAGACACACAGTGAAACCTGTCCGTCGGAAAGGTGCTTAGGACGGAAGCTGTTAAATTATCGTTGTTTTTTTTAATTTACCCCCAACTGTGGTTGAAATGTCCTAAACAGAAAAGTTCTGTTTTATTTCAAGAGTTCAGACAGATAAACGTGTTTGGTCTGCTTACAGCTCATTGAAAGACTGCTTTAGTTTTTATATTTTAAAGTGATTCAGTTAAGCATTTATCTAATGTATATGCATTTTTAGTGGGAGGTGTAAACGGTAAAAAAATAAATAAATCCGAAAGGAAATTAAATTGTTTATTTGACGCATTATGCTAAAATAATACAGAATAATTTGTTGAAAACATTAAAAACACGTAATGTTTGCATCATCATCATCTTATTTCAGACTTTGATGTAAATTAGTATCAGGGGCATCTTAAAGTGCAGCTGTGGCTGAGTGTTTAGAGCAGTAGTCTTCCAATGCAAGAGTTGGGGGTTCGAATCCACCAGCAGTAACATGTTGAAGTGTCCCTGGGCAAGACACTGAACCCCTCGTTGCCTCTGATGTGTGTCCCATCAGTGTCTGAATGTGATAAATCACTGATTAGTCTCTTTAGAATGATTTGTTCAATTATCTTTGTAGAGATCTAGTAGAGTGCTGTATGAATGGGTAAACACAGATTGTTGTAAAGAGCTTTGAGTATCTCCATAAGATAGAAAGGCGCTTTATAAGTACAGGTCCTTCTCAAAAAATTAGCATATTGTGATGAAGGTAATTATTTTCCATAATGTAATGATAAAAATGAAACTTTCATATATTTCAGATTCATTGTACACCAACTGAAATATTTCAGGTCTTTAATTGTTTTAATACTGATGATTATGGCATACAGCTCATGAAAACCCAAAATGCCTGTCCCAAAAAATTAGCATATCATGAAAAGGTTCTCTAACCAAGCTATTAACCTAACCATCTGAACCAACGACGTAACTCTAAACACCTGCAAAAGATTTCTGAGGCTTTTAAAAACTCCCAGCCTTGTTCATTACTCAAAACCGCAATCATGGGTAAGACTGCCGACCTGACTGCTGTCCAGAAGGCCATCATTGACACCCTCAAGCAAGACACAGAAAGAAATTGCTGAACGAATAGGCTGTTCCCAGAGTGCTGTATCAAGGCACCTCAGTGGGAAGTCTGTGGGAAGGGAAAAGTGTGGCAGAAAATGCTGCACAACGAGAGGAGGTGACCGGACTCTGCGGAGGATTGTTGAGAAGGGCTGATTCCAGACCTTGGGGGACCTGCGGAAGCAGTGGACTGAGTCTGGAGTAGAAACATCCAGAGCCACCGTGCACAGGCGTGTGCAGGAAATGGGCTACAGGTGCCGCATTCCCCAGGTCAAGCCACTTTTGAACCAGAAACAGCGGCAGAAGCGCCTGACCTGGGCTACAGAGAAGCAGCACTGGACTGTTGCTCAGTGGTCCAAAGTACTTTTTTCGGATGAAAGCAAATTTTGCATGTCATTCGGAAATCAAGGTGCCAGAGTCTGGAGGAAGACTGGGGAGAAGGAAATGTCAAAATGCCAGAAGTCCAGTGTGAAGCACCCACAGTCAGTGATGGTCTGGGGTGCCATGTCAGCTGCTGGTGTTGGTCCTCTGTGTTTTATCAAGGGCAGGGTCAATGCAGCTAGCTATCAGGAGATTTTGGAGCGCTTCATGCTTCCATCTGCTGAAAAGCTTTATGGAGAAGAAGATTTCATTTTTCAGCATGACCTGGCACCTGCTCACAGTGCCAAAACCACTGGTAAATGGTTTACTGACCATGGTATTACTGTGCTCAATTGGCCTGCCAACTCTCCTGACCTGAACACCATAGAGAACCTGTGGGATATTGTGAAGAGAAAGTTGAGAGACGAAGACCCAACACTCTGGATGAGCTTAAGGCCGCTATCGAAGCATCCTGGGCCTCCATAACACCTCAGCAGTGCCACAGGCTGATTGCCTCCATGCCACACCGAATTGAAGCAGTCATTCATGCAAAAGGATTCCCGACCAAGTATTGAGTGCATAACTGAACATGATTATTTGAAGGTTGGCGTTTTTTGTATTAAAAACACTTGTCTTTCATTGGTGCGATGAAATATGCTAATTTTTTTTGGGACAGGCATTTTGGGTTTTCATGAGCTGTATGCCATAATCATCAGTATTAAAACAATTAAAGACCTGAAATATTTCAGATGGTGTGCAATGAATCTGAAATATATGAAAGTTTCATTTTTATCATTACATTATGGAAAATAATAACGTTTATCACAATATGATAATTTTTTGAGAAGGACCTGTACATTCCATTTACCATTTAAAGCTCTCCATCAGACATTCAGCTTGTTTAAAGGGAACAAAGAGCCTCTTTGTGTTTATTTGTTTGTGACCTCCCTGAACAGGGAGAAAAGAAAACAAAGAACTGTGTGAGGAGCTCAGAGTGAAGATGAGACAGATCCATGTTAAACGTAAAGGCTTCAAGTCCATCTCCAAGCAGCATCATGTCTCTCTGATCACATCTGGTATTATTTTGAAAATCTAGAAAGTTCATAGGACTGTAGCCAACAGCCCAGGATGTGGACGCAAGAGCAAAATGCAACCCCAGGTTGATCAACAGATGCTGTGGATGGTAGAAAAAGAGCCAAGAACAACATCCAAAACCATTAAAACTGAAGTGCAAGGTCAGGGTTCAACAGTATCTGACGGCACCATCTGTCACTTTTTGAACCAGAAATGACTCCATGAGTGAAGATGATCCACTATCAGAAGGATCCACTACCAGAAGGATCCACTACCAGAAGGATCCACTACTGTCAGGAAACACAAAAAGCAGAGAGGAAGTCACCCAAATGCACAACAAGAACCAGAGTTTCTGGAACTGCTGAGACATGAGCTCCATGATTACAAAGGGAAACTTCAGCTTTCAAAGAAAAGACCACCATGCCCTCAGTGGAAAATGGAGTGAGCTTGGTTTGATTTTGGAGTGGCTTTGCTCTTTCTGATCCGGGGAGCCTTGAATCTGTGCAGGGCTCAATGAAGTCTCAAGACCTCCTGAAGCAAAACAAACTGCCCAGTGACAGAAAACTGTGCTGCAGTCACAGCTCACAGGCTCTTCAACAGGATAATGATCCAAAACAAACTCATCAAGGACAGCTGAGAAAAAAAACACTGGACTACTCCTAAATGACCCTCCATGAGCCCAGATCCTTATCCTGCTGAACATCTGTGGACAGATGTGAAAACTGCAGCGTGGACGTTAAACCTAAGGCAGCTGGAGCAGTCTGCTCAGGAAGAGGAGCTACCTGGTGGGAAATGCAGATGCCTCGTTGTGAAGAGTGCAGATCACTTGTTAGCAGTGATTAAAGCTGCTGCTACAAAATATTACATTAAGGCCATGAGACCTTGTTTCTGTCCATGACATTTTCATTTCTTTTATAATATTCAACTGACCCAATAATCAAAAACAAAGTGTGACTTGTGTAAAATGTGGAACACACCGTAAAAGATGGCATTAAACTTTGGTCATGTTCCAGTTCTTTCACAGACACTTGTGTTTTTGATTGTCGTTAAAGGTTAAAAACAGATTTGTCTGTGTCTGTAGGCCTGAATCGATGCAGATTTGTAACAGGTGCGGTACGAATCCTTGTGCAGCCACTCGGGTTAAAAATATATTTTCTATTAAACAAAACAAACCATTTTCTGAATTGTTTTTTTCTGTCCGGGTCAACAGGAACCCAAATGAGGAGAAGTATAGATCGATCCGTATCGGCAATCCCACTTTCTCTACCAAGCTGCTGCCCATCAAAGGTGCTGTGGAATGCCTCTTTGAGATGGGATTTCAGGAGGTAACTGTCCGGTGAAAGAAAAGTGTGAATGCTAAGTGTGGAACGGCGGCTGAACTTTGCTGAAGAAGCTGAAACTGAGCGTTTAAAGCTATAAGAAGGAAAATGGTAGCTAGAAGCTAAAAGTAGCAGCGCTGTAGCTAAAAGAAGTCTCACAAGAAGACAGAAATGGTGAATTTGCTGAATCATAACTTCTCATTAAAATGATGCAGTTTTAATGTTAAAGTTTTAACAAATTTTAATTATTCCAAATGTTACAAAATCCAGCAGTCATTCATCTGCTAAATGAGCTGAATGTTTTGCCGTCTGAATAGCTAATAGATGAAACAGGACACAGTTAGATCGGGAAAACCCAGGAAAACATTAGATTGAATGCTGACTCAGCAATAAAAGGATTCCATGTGGTTCCCATAGTTAAAACTGTTGTCGTCATTAGTTTTTTCAGGCATCTGACCACTGTCCAAACCATCAAACTGTCCCCAGGCTGAGACTCACCTGGTCTTCCCCCAGTCTGCTTCAGTTGAACAGCTGAGGCTCATCAGGGAATCGATCGCTGCAGAGCTGGATCTGAGGATGCGTACGGACCCTGCTGCCCCACATGCTGTGGCCCTACCGATGGCACCACACAGCTCTGCTGCTGCCACCACCCGCCCAGCGGCCCCGCCTGTGCAGCAGCCATCTTCCCTGGTAGGGTTGTCCTTATCAATCACCATCAACCGCTGATGAAAGCGGAGCGATAATGATTTGCTGGTGTCCTGATGCATGCTCAATAATCCAGGTAGAAAAATCTAAAAAAGTTAAATCTGGCCCTCTGGACATTCAAAAAACAAAACGAAGCAAAATAACAAAAAAAATGTAGAAACATTTCATCTTTCATCCGAAAGACTTCCTCAGTCTGAGGTGCTGTATTCAGCTCTTTCTTATAAATAGCACCTTCTCAGAGTGGATCAACCAGTTTTGCTGCTGACAACCAAAACCAGCTGCTCACATGGTCAAGAAGGACCATTGGTCTAACAATGGATCATTAGCACACTGATGGCTGTTTACTATTCACAGGGGGTTGAGTGATACTAGCAATAACAGCATTGTAAGAGGGGGACAATTGAACACGTAGGCCTCCACCCCTAGTAACTTAAAACCACTTATGAACCTCTGAAAAGAGATCCAGGAAGTGGTTACAAGAAGAAGTTGGTAGATTGCCTGAAAATTTTGGAACAGGACAAGGCTATTGACCATTTTCTGTACCACAGACTGTACCCAGGGGAGGCCACATCTAGTCTGTATGGTTTACCTAAAATTCACAAACAAGGTGTACCTTTAAAACCAATTGTTAGCGTGATTAACTCTGTCGCTTACAATGTTTCCAAATATCTGGCGTCTGTACTCATCCCTTTAGTTGGCAGCTCAGAACACCACATACAGAACACCATGGACTTTGTGGATAAGGTGAGGGATGAGGGGGGTGGTCTGAGGGAGGGGACGGGCGGGCTCAACCTGGGCGTCTTCTTGCCTGGCGGTGGCCGCGGCGTGGTGCTTGGCTGGGGGGCTGGGCTGTGGGGGGCTGTGACTGGGGTGGGGTATATTGGGGGCTCTCGTGTGGGGGGCTCTGTGCTGTGGGGCCGGGGGAGTCTGGGCTCGCTGGGTGTGTGCCC